GTTTTTCAGATACATGGTAGAAGTACAAAAAGCCACTGCTGTTCAGGGAAGTTCTGCATGTGCTCAGACAGCTTTTCTTCCTCCACTTTGGATCTATTCCATCCCCAGTGGTAAAGCATACTGTGGAATCCTATAATGATAGGAGCAGTCGATACCTTTGTGAGAACAGAGAGCTCTCTTTATCAATGTATGCCTTTAGTTCAATAAACTAGGTCTAATTTTCCACTGAGGGATCTAAAATCAGCAGAGAACTTTTGCATGGTACAATGTTAATCTTTTTAGCTAAAGGTTTGCTTGACTGTAGTGAGTTTTTTCCCTATTCTAGCATTGGGGGTAGGATTTCCATAATCTGTGATTTAAAGTAAGTGATACTGTGTTTGTAATCAAAATAGGGTTCTATTGCATGTCAGTACTTGATGCCTAATTAAATAAACAAAATTTTAATCCAAATTAGAAAGAGAGGAGAGTGAGAGAAAGAGAATAACCAGTAGAATACTGTGGAGATGAGAATCTTGGCAACAGTAAATGAACAGAAACACTTTGGGAACCTGCTAAGCAGGTATCACAGAATTGTAGGGGTTGGAAGGGACCTCCAGAGATCATCGAGTCCAGCCCCCAATAAACACAATATACACAATACACAATATATATACACAAGTATACACAATAGATTTTTTTATCCCAAGTATCTCTAAGAAATTAAGATTTTCCCAATGTTTTTTTAAAATGAGTCATCTCTTCCTGCTTTATCTTTGCAATGGTATGAGTCTGTGAGAGAGCAATTCTTTTATACCTGATGTTGAAATTTATCCTGTATGTCTTGCATCATTACTGCCTATTGACTGCAGCAGAGAAAAAGACATTTTAAGAAAATATGTTTCAACGACAGAGCAAAATAAACAGTGGAACATACAACCAATAATTCATTAAATAAAAAGTCCAAGCTTTTATCTGGCTCTTCAAACACATTTTAGGCACTTCAACAAGATTAGAAAAACACTTTTATGCCAAAAAAGAAGCTCCTTTAATCACTTCTCTTCTAAGAAGATACCTGCATGAAAAGAAGAGAATTAACCTCTCTGCTGCCACTACTCCCTTGGCTGCAAAAAAAAAAAAAATAAAAAAGAAAGAAAAAAGCATTTGTAAAATTCCTAATCCATTTGGTTCTGTCAGATGGAAACAGTTATGTTTTAAAAAGCATTAATCATACAGGAAGATATTTTCAAACATATACCTTGCTGAAAAATTCTTGGTGAACACCAGATTATCATTAGTCATTTCTAATGGAACAGTAAGTATCCCAATTTTTGCAAATACTAGAAATAAGACCAGTCCATCATGATTGTTATAGTTTAATACTACTTTTGTTTTTTAGTTTTATTTACCATACTGCAGTAAAGGGAAAGCAGGGAGAGAGAAATATTCAAAAACTTTTAGCAGTTTAGAAAGTAAATGAAGGCAGGAGAGGAGATGAACTCCATCAAATGCATGCTTCTTGATTGACTGTATGTATTGCACTGAACTGAATACAAAATAGTTAAATTGTGTGGCCAAAACCAAAAGCAAGGCTATATATATATATATATATATATATATATATACACACACACACACACACACACACATCTAGCATATGCAAGTGCATCTTACAATGCAGTGAGATCATACAGCTGTTAAGTGATTTTGCTGGGACTCTCTTCAGGATCAGTTAAAAGCCTGAATGTCAAGCAAAGTCTTCTACAGACTGGATATCTCTGCCCCACTCCCTGCCTTTTCCTCTGTCCTCAAACCTGGCCAAAGTCAGCCTCTTGCAGATGAGCAGCTCAGCTGTTGTACCATCCCCTTTCATTCCTCAGTGAGAAAGGATTGGTGCTAATGCGGAATGTGAAAGCATACTTCTGGACCACCCTCTCCTGCTGCTGCCAGGTGGTCTTACTGTCTCAGAACAGAAAGCACCTGTGGGTTTTTTTTTGTTGTTGTTGTTGTTTGTAAGGCCTGCTTGCACAGACTGGCATAGGTTAAAAATAATAGCCTCAGGACTGTCTATACCACATCTTTCCTGAAAGGCAAAAGTTCCTTAAAATTTTTGTCATCCTTTTGGAACTACCCTGCACTTCTTGATCCCAAAATACAGTGAAGTAAGACTACGTTTTAGTCTGTTCAGACCCATCAGCACTGCCTTCACATCACAGCAGGTATCCTTCTCATTTTTGGTTTCTCCAGACAGTAGGAAAACTGGATACTTCACTGACATGATAGGCATGCTTTTGATGGGGTCCTACTACTATTGTGTCCAACAAGTCAAGACAGTGCAGTTAAGGAAGATGTTTTTGTGAAAATGATAGAATATGTGTTCAAGGGCAGTGAATAAGTTCTCTTTCAATAGAAGCGCACACTGCGTCCAGGAACAGTCAAAAGGGTTAAAATACAATCTTTCCAGATAAGTTTCTAGCCATATCAGGCTCAAAAAGTCAAAAGATTTGAAAGCTATTAGTACTTCTGTAGATCATCCTTTTCCAGATACTTTTTTCTTTTTTCCCCTTTAACTGACAGGTTGCAGTTAAAAATTAAAGTAAAAAGAGGCCCTCTTTTTGCTACATACTTTTAATGGAACTGAAGCCAAAATAAGTCAGACTAAATTATGGGAGTAAATGACCTCCCGGGAAGCATAATACCAAATTCCAAAGAACTGTAAAGAGTTTCCTTTGATCTTTTTAGCTTCACAGCCTGAAATTCAAAATCTGTATTTAATTTTAGATTGCATATGCCAGCTTTTAAGTTTCCTTTCTAACATGATATATCATTTTAAATGATAGGACACCTTTAACTTGTATTTCTTGAAAATGCTGACTATCCTTTCTTTATTCTTTTACACTATAAAAACAGATATAAATATTACTAATTGCAAAAATAATTTGGGGTTGGGTGCTGTAATGGATAAACCATTGACCTTCACTTAAGAGACTGTGCCTTCAAGCTCAACCTGAGTTTCTAAGTGAAATGACTTTGATCTGAGACGAAATGACTGAGAAGTAACTTCAGTTCAGTGCCCTAGAGGATATAGATCTAGAAAAAAGACAAGCTGTGCACTTCACTATATATTCCTGTTACAATTTAAGAGGTAGACAAAGGATGCTATTTTTCAAATGCAGCATAAAGGGCCTGTTTCTTTCTATGGCCAGAGTTACCCTGCGAGGACTGTGTTTGTAAACCAGAAATCTCAAAAGGCACAACGAGCTGCATTAGCTCTTGGCTGGAGAATTCTCTGACCTATGCACTTCATCATAGACTTTAGATACGGGAAGCTGCAATAATGTCCCTCTTGAGTCCAGAAGAGAGCCACAGAGGTCTTTATGCAATACACAGCATGAAAGAAGGCACCTTTCTTGAGGAAAAGTAGATGGCAGCAGGTTGGTTGGATGCATAACATGCAAGAATGGCTGCTAACCTATGAACTTGTACTGGAAAAGCCCTAGGAAGAGTTCTTACATACAATGTTTTGTTCTGCGTCTGTCTGATGACTGGTCAAACAAGGGCATAAATATAGCTCAGAAATTTACAGTACAATAATGTTACAACTTACATCCTGGGGGAATAATTTATAATGCATAATTTATCCACTGAATTTAGTTTCTTCTTCTACTAATAAAGCATCTACAAACTGGTCCTAACTTCCTCACAGTTGCTCTATTTTCCAAGTCAATCAGTGTTATTTTTTAGGCTGAGGGAATGATTTATAGAAGTCCTCTTGTATTATTTGGAGCTATAGTGAGATCATTTAAACTATACTGAGATAGCTCCAAATTATTTAGTTTAGGGTTTTTGTTGTTGTTGTTTTTTTTTGTTTTGTTTTTTTGTTTTGTTTTGTTTTTGTTTTTTTTTCTCTTCATTTTTCAGATTGTGAAAACCAACCAACCAACTTATTTATTTACCACAGCATTTCCTGTATGGAAATACCTGGAGTGAATGTAGCATTTTCTTTCCCATGAACCATAATAAGGGGCTCCACATTTTCTACAATTCTGAAAGAGTGGAGAATTTTTAACTGTTTAAAAAAAAAAAAGAAAGAAAAAAAGCCCTTGAAGCAAGAGGTACAACTATATGGGGTTTGGGGTTAGTCACTATACATTCAAATCCAGACCATATCTCAGCCCGCCCCAGGCAGCAGTTATTGCTACCTTTCTTCTTCCCAGTGAATTGCTGACATCCAATCATCCAGTTGGTTTCTGTAAAACAGAAGTATCAAGTAATTTTAAAATAGATGAAAATAGAAACACTTAAACAGAACAACGTAAAATTAGGTTGGGCATGTCTTTCATTCACTGACAAGGTAATATAGATTGACATGCTTTGTGGGTGCTATTTTGTAAGCTTTTTTATTCCCAGCCCAAGTGGAGCAATTAAAATATTTACAAATAACCTTCCTCTCCCCCTTCAACTAAGAAGTTTATTGGTGCTTATTTAACAGCAATCCTGTCTGCCACTCTTCTAAAGAGACAGACCAGAACAAACACAATCTGGAGAACATTGCCAATTTCAGCAATTTCTTGGGTTCCGTGCAGGCCATCAATAAAATTCTAAACTTCCCCAAAATAGGGAATGTCCAGGCCTCATTTATACCCATCCTTAATGCTTTAATGGATGTTATAATTTGTTGATTCAGGATTTCTTATATCTAATATTACAACACCAGTCAGGAATTACATAAAAGTTAATATTTACCAAGCAGAAATATATTTGTCATTATTATAATTAAAAAAAAAAAAACTTTCTACAACAACAATAAAAAACCAACCTCTAATTTCTGTGAGAAAAAAAAAAAAAACTATGATAGAGAAACTCTAGATTCGGGAATCGGTAAGTGTTATATTATAATGAAAGATATACACTGTTATCTATTAATTTTGAACATGACATTTCATTCCCATGTAGAAAGTGTACAAATTCATTACAAATGGAAAAGCACATCTGTCCAACACCGCTGCGCATAAGCATTTTCATGAGCTTGATGGGTAGTTTTATGACCAGCTGAGAGAAGAAAACTAAGCTGAGGATCAGATAAGACTTCCCATGAAAGAGCCAGTAGTGATTTAAACTTAAGCAGACAAAGCATTCCAGAACACATTGTTTTTTAGAGCGAAAGTGTAGGAGATAGGGACAATCACATTTAAATTGTCTGACAGAAAGGCAAAGAGTTGTTACATATATTTAAGTATGTACACATTAGCAGATCAACAGATTTGACATTATTTCCCACAATTTCCTACCCCATCTGCTGTGGTCTTGCATCTGGTACTCAGGTGATGTCATACCAGGGTTGGTCGCACTGCCTTCTCTCAGGGACACAGAGTGTCAGGGCTAACAGGCTTCCATTCATGATTTTCTTACTTCAAATCCATGCTCTTAAATAAAATAGGTACTGTGCTTTTAACAGCTTTATGAAAATAACTGCAGTAACTTTATGTCCTATTGGTGAATCTATGCGTTATGCAAAATATTTCCTTATAATTTTTACTCCTAATTTACGTTATTTTATTCATTTATTTATTTAACTGTTACAAAAGGTTTTTGACAAACTGATGGACAAGACAGTGCTGAACAATCTTAGGATCTCACTGGCAGCCAAGGAGTCTTCTGCTTCGTAACACAGAGGCATCAAACAGTTTGGAGATGTAAAGAAACATGAAAGCATATGAACCACCATTTTCACTCTGAACTATTTCTCTCACATTTCTCAATCATTTTAAATTAAAAATTAGTAAATTCCTTCACTGTGAAGCATGTAAAATTTTACAGTTACATAATCTGATGCATTGTCAGTCCATGACACTTTCATTATTCTATTTCTTTCTGACCTTGTTCTCGGTTTCATGTATGTAAATTAAGGGGAAGAACTGTCTCTCCTTTCGCAGTCGCAGAGTTATTTTGATCCTTCTCGGGATGGGAGACTGCATGTTTGTACACACACCAATGTGACAGGGTTCCAAGCTTCACCACAACAACTTTTAGGTACTGTGATAATGCAAATAATAAAAAAGCCACTGTTGATTTATGTCCTTGTGCATGTGAGTGTCTAATTAGTATTCAGAAGACACTACTTTCAATTGGATACATGGATATATATTATATGCCACATACATGGTTCATACTGACAAATGTAAGTAATAGGCTTGTTTACTTGTTTGCATTTAATTTAAAAGAAAAAAGGCTTCTGATCATCCCTCTTTACAATTGTATCAAGTCATTGTCTCAGAAAACCCCCACATACATGTTCATTGAAATACATTCAAAGATAGGGCGTGATAAGTTGGACAGCCATTCTCTCCTTGTGGGGCTAATGTATCTCCCATTACCATTAAATTGTGTTATATGTGCATATTAAGGGAAGAATATTAGTGATTAATAACAACCTACATTTTCCAGTGTGCTGAACTCTTTCAGGAACTGGTGAAGGTCCCCAAAGCTAAACTGCACCTTAAATGCACATGTGTTGTACAGCATATTTTTAAGCAAACACAATGGTTTCAGTGATCGTTTCAAGGTCATTCCAGTGCTAACTTCTGACATACAACAATGTAGCTAAGTGTGCTTAAAAGTAGGAAAGCATATTAATTTCAAAGCTTACAAGTAGTGATGGCTGGTCTGTCCACAATTCCCAATTCAACCATTTTATATTCTAAGAAGAACTGAGGCTATTTTTTCCCTAGTTAATGATATTAACTAGTCATTTGTTCCTGAGAAAAGAAGGAAAAAGATGTGTGTTAGGCTTATAGTAACTTCAATTAGTTGTTAGCAAAAGATCTTATCCTGGTAGCAAAACCAGAAAAAAAAAAAATCTTTTAAATTAATTTCAAGATGCCTACATTTAGAGAATGGCATTGCTTTAACAGAGCTATGCAAATGAGTCCAATTTAGCATCTTGTATTCAGCTGGAAACCATTGCTAAATGATCGGGATAGCCAGTCACAGATATTAAAATGAATTATATCTAATCTGAATTTTAGTCACGCTACATTAACTAATAGAAAGTTATTAACATTTCAAGAGAAAAAAAGCTTTTGCCTGCAAAATTAACAGTGGCTGAGATGTGACCTGTGAGCCATGCAGCCTGATCACTGTAATGACAGTGTAATGGCATATTTACATTAAAATCTCTGCAGCTAATATGTGATTCAGAATTGGACGTTAAGTCGAGGATTATTTAGTCTGGCCTGTTGGCCTTTCTCTAAGTAGTTTTTTTTTTTTACTTCAATACAAATCTGAAACTTTTCATTTCATGACTATTTATGTGACTAGTTTCTATGGCTATGTCTCTCCATCTTTACATCAGCTACTTTATATGGTCAGCTTACTCTTTCATTTTCCCCTTCCTTTTTCCAACATATTTATCATTTTTTGTTGGCACGTAAAACTTCAAGAAACTCACATTAGTTACAAGCCAGCAGGGAAAAGGGAAATATTTTGCTACTTCATTTTTACTACTAACTTGCTTCAAAAGGCAGTATATTTTCATGTTTTCCTTCCCACACTTTTTAAATTCGCCCTGGAAAAAATGGATAATTCAAAGACATCGTTATCTGGATAGAATAAAATGTGCAATTATGCAGTTATTCTTAGCAGTCAATGACAACCTGACACAACTTCTCCTGCTACCAGTTCATTTGCACCAAAGCAAAGGTTTTAAAGTTATGGACGTAATAACATGGCAGTTGTATAATCTGTAGCATTTGTTAGATTTGTGACATATTTGCATATATGAATTTGTTTGCTTCTTTAAGAAATACAGCATCATTTTAAATTTAAAAAATAAAGAAGTGCGATGAAATTATTAAGAAAAAATGGATAAGACAATCCTCATTTAATAATAAGAGCATTCTTCACAACAAGTCCAATGTAAAGATGAATTTGAAATTGGTCTTGTGATTATTTGTACAAAACAGGACATTTTCATAAGGGCTCAGATTCCAAGTGGATCTTCAATTCTGAGGAAAAAAAAGGCAAATGCATTTTATTAAGGCAAGTTTGTAGGGCTTTTTTTTGTAATTGTAGTTTTTTTTTTCTCTCCTTTTCTTTTGTATTAGATATGTGTTTCCTTACCATTTCCTATGCCCCTATAGGGAGATATTACTTTACTGTATTGTTTGTTTGTGTACTTTACTTGCTTGTTTTTATTTTTAATGTAAGTTCGCTAAAGTGCTAGAGCTAAAAGTGGTAATTAATGACTAAAGAAATATATCATATAAATTACAGACCCATGTATATATTTCCATACACCAGGCAAACATATAAATTCACAAATTTTACAAAGTAGGTAATATGCTTGTCCCATAATTAGGCCTTCAGTATGGTCAGTATTCCCACAAATTTTGCTGCTGCTTTTCTTTCAACTCTAAATGAACAAGTAAACACTTGTGTGACTCCACTTTTAAACTGATTTGTTTTCTGTTTACAATAAATCCATGTTGTGATTTTGCTTCAGCTCAGAGATACGTCATTCACATGACATAAATGTTATCTCACCTCCATTTCCCAATTAGTAAAAGAGAATTAATATGGTGAAATCTGTTTGACTGACAAGTATCTTTGCAGGTAGAGCTCTGTGCACAGATTCGTAATAAACACAGGTATAAATGCACAGCTTCACCATATTCCTGAAATCTTTACTGTGACTCAGACATACAGTAAAAGCAGATTGAAGAAATAATTAGAAATTTGATCTGATATAACATGGTAATTAGCTGAACTTCTTTTGATATTTCTGAATTTATAACTGGTTTTTTATTCAGAATGCAAAAATGGCTCTGAGCAAGTCCTACAGATACTCTTCTTCATGGTCCCAGCTGGACCACAACTGCTTTACCCCTCATGGTCAGTTGATCCTGGTAGCAGCAGGACCAAAACCGCTTCCCTGATATTATGGGGCTACCACTGAGAATTTTCAAGTAAGTGTTTCCTTTTATTATACTTTTCACTTAGTCAGGTATGTGGTAAAGCTGTAACTATGCTGCAGATCAGACAGGACAGATACCACTACTGAAAATCAGACTAGATCTCAAAAGATAAAGCCAGAGAATTTGCCTCAGCCACAGTTGTAAGATTAAGTCGTTTCTTTCACTCACAGTGATGTATGAACTCTTGCACCATCACCACTACCGCACACTAGGGACCTGAAATACTCTCTCGTGGTTGCATTTGACTCTAAAAATCACATTTTCCCATTTTGGTCAGAGTTTTTTTTTTTTTTATTTTATATAGATTGCGTGTAATAATTACTGTCATTAATATCACTAATTTGAACATTTGCTGCACAAATGCCAGAACCATTTTTTATACTTTCATTTCTACAACTGCCTCAGCGGCATTGTTGTATTTAAATTCAAAAGCCAGTTAATTAACTGGAAATATAGGGAATGTAAAAATGAAACTGCATAATCTTTGATATCCCAATTGACTAGCAGTATCTGTGGATAGTAAGAGAGTTTAGGAAGATAAGAGGGAGAGGTATCTAAACAGGAGTGAGCTGGAGACTCAAAGATAGGTTGCCTATGCTAACTATCTTCTAAGCTTTGAAGACAAAAAAAATGGTGTGTCTCTAACAGCAGGCTTCATAAAACGGAATAAAAGTCAAGGGATGCTGAGCTTACTTTTGAGAGAGGAGACTAGAAGGGTAAAGCCCTACTTAGGCCTGACATATTTCTAACGTTAAGTGGTTCTCAGAGAATCTCTCTGGAATGCTGTCTTCTAAACCTGGCAAAACAAGTCTCTGAGAATTCGGCAGAAAGAGTATCTCTCTCTCATTCAGTATTAGCTCCGTCCTCAGAACCACCTTATAAAAGCAGAGGTTTTCAGGGTGAAAACATTCCTTTTTATCACAGAGGCAGTTTGGTGGAGAGCCCACTTCTTTAGGAAAATGGCTAGATTCTCATACTTCATTAACAAAAACCTCAGAAGTCAAATGCTGATCTACCAGTTACTGCTGATTCCTTACCTATGAGGTATCACTGTCAATAAACAAACTGCCACCAAAATATTTTTTTCTGGATGTTTTTCTTTGTATTAGACAAGCTCATGCACTTACTGCTTTCCTTCAGGTGCTTCATTGCCACATACCAAGAACAGGCCAACAGACAACATTGTTCTTTGCCTTTGTTGTGAGTAAGAAAGATACGAAATTAGATCAGCTTTTGAGATGTGGGCTTAGCTATTTGAATATCTGCAATCTTTGGTGACAAAATAGTGAAGGGTGCTTACAAACATAAGAGAGCTATACTCCATTCTGAAAAGTTCACGAACGTTGTCTATCTCCCTACTGTCAGCAGTACCTGGAAAACAAGACTATCATTAAATATCTATATTATCATAATCTACCATGGTACAGGTAAATCCAGGTTTTTCAAGATTATCTGCAAAGAGACATAATCTGAAGATATCAAAAGCTCTAATTTTCAATAAATGAACTGAGTCTCTAATAGACCCCTTTTGAAACCATTTTTACATCTTACAGGATTCATTCAAGAATTATTTTTTTCTCTTTAACTCCCTTTTTCCATTATTGGTCTCCAAGACTTGCTATATTTTTTTAAAATATTATTTATTGATTATGAGGTCTACCCACCATTTTGAACAGCCTCCATTCTTTATCTGCACATCTCTCCCTTATTCATCTCCATGACTTTCCTGACATTATGTCGTATACATGAAAGAATCTTTCTGAAAAGTCAAGCAAACAACCCAAGCGTGTAAAGCAAATGAATAGCTCACCTTCCAGACCTTTACTAAGCCTAATTCACATTCTGAAGCTTACAAAGTCTGCATTACTCTAAATATGAAGAAACTTTAGATCACAAGCAATGGTCAACGCTAAGCAGTACACATACAATTCTGTGTAGCCATGAATGGTCTACACCATTACCAATGCTTTTTTTCCTTTTGGCTAGTTCCTCAGCTGCTTTGTCTTTTTTGTTTGTTTTTAAAACTGAAATTTCTTTCAGACATGCTCTATCAGATTCTATCAGGTCCTTGGCCTGATTGCTGGCTTTTACTGTCATATAGTCATATATAAAAAAAATGGCCAAAAACATGCTCAGATATTGTCCTTATATTACACAAATCTTGCAATTTAGTTTCCTACTGGCTATTCCTTAATTCTGTTTTTCTGTTTTGACACTCAAGGCCTGGGCAAAAATGCCATAATTATTTAAGCTACATAACAAGGAGAATTTCTCCTAAATCATGCAGCCAAGCAGATGGAATCATCATCAACATGTGAAAAAGTAATAATCTACACATTAAGAAATGCCTTATAACAATTGTGGATTAGACTTAACAAAAAAAAAAAAAAAAAAAAAAAAGAGGGACACCGATTAAATAACTTGAAAGTATGTGTCAGCAAACTATTCACTTAAATAGCATTTAAATCCTTTTTGGCTTTCTGTGCCGCCACTGTAGCCACGTGAAACATAGCTTCTGCCCTCAAGGGATTATAATTTCTGTAGATAATACGAGAACTCAAATAAGAGAAGAGAAAGATGAAAATCATCTGGGGAAAAGTGCTGTTATGTGCACTTCATCCCAAGATCAATGCTGGCATCTTTTCTTTCAAACCAGATGAGGAAGAAGAGGTCAGTCAGGAAGTGTGCAAGCACGAAAGGAACAACACCTTTTGTTCCTGGGCCTCAGTGAGAAGCTATCTCTTATAGCCAAGAACTTGGCCTAATAGAGCTGTAGGAGAAAAGGGATATGAGCAAACCATCAAGCCACATAACTTCCATCTGACAGACTCTTCTGCTTTGGAAAGTCTACAGCAACTACCAACAGGAACCAGACCAAACATCCACGTGGTTTTAAACAAAGAGTTATAGGAAGGTTATAAGGTTATAGGTTATAAGCAAACATCCAAAAGAAAATTAAAGTGTATGCCAAAAGCTTGGAAAGATAACATTCAGTAAAAATGAATTTTTAGACCTAAATAGTTGTAAATAGTCAATGAAAACAGAGATGTTATAATTATGAGACAAACAAGTGAGTCTGGCAGAGCAGATTATAACAACAAAAAGAATAAATAGAAAGCTTACCCACATCCTGGGCTTGCTGCATAACTCCTAAGGAGAGATCTCCAGAAGAGATCCTTTCCCAGAGGTAGTCAGCTCTTAAATGGGTATAGGAGAGGTGCAGCCAGGCTCCACCCCTTCCAGCAGCACAGGTAAATTGCCTTCACCTGTGCTCTGTGTCTGACTCAGGTGATCAATCAGAGGTTCAGGCCATGATTCGGCAGTTCCCATATAGTCCCCTACCATATTACTGAGAAAACATTTGCATCCAGAAGTCTGAATTCAGAAAATAAGTGTATATATATCTATTTATATCAAAATAGTAAAAATAAAGAACATCCATGTTTTGCTCCCTGAAGTGCTAACTCTAGAATCCTTTCTACTGAAGCAAACTTTTGAGGATGATTCCTGACAACAGCCTCTGATTTGCCTTCCAGGTCATGCTACATTTCCCCTCTGTCTGTACACAGCATTTGTAATTACTAGTTATATTGAGATCTTGGCTGGTCAAGGAATATAACCGTTCTAAGCACGCACATGGAAGTGACTAAACTTAACTAAGGACACGTATGCTTGAATATTAAATAAGTAAGTGTACCACTAACACTTATGTAACATAAAGGTTCTGGTGGTCTTTTGGCATAATCATAATACATTTGATTTACTTATATCACTTCAGACTTAAGAAGCACAAGATAATGAAAAGATAGAATAAAATAAAATTAAGTACATTCTGACTAATAACCTATTGGTTCTGCAAAATATAGTTTAAATGTGAATTTCTAATACTAATCAGCTAAGTATCTCATACCGTATTTAATTTTTGTGGTATTGAATTGTGACCATTCATATATCACTGAGCAGACAATGATGAAAAATACAAACTTTTGAGTTTAAATTTTCTTTAAAAATTCAGTTTGACCTTTACAAGGACACTTCATGTAAAACTAACTCACATTTCAGTCCTAAAATGTTAATGCACTACAAGGTTAATTGCTCCTATTAATCCATTAAACAAGAACTGTATGTCCTTTCTTATATTAACCATTATTTCTTTTTTCATTCTTCCATCCAAAGCCCACAAGCTCCTGTCTTTGTTACAAAAACTAACATAATGTTAGTTTGATAGATCTCACGCAAGTTTACTGGTTTCCATTTGCATGCCTCCACAAGTTCTAAAAGTCTTGGAATAAAAAAAACATGTATCAAACAGGGAGGTCAGCAGTTTGTTGCGATCACTTGCTGGAGCAGTTCAAGGAACTTCTTTAGTTAAAAAAATATTTCTTTTTTTTTCCCCATGTCTGTGATTTGAGAACAAGAGAGGAGATTTTATGTGCATATATAGCAATGGTAAGCAGCTGTAAAAACCTCCCACCCTAAAGATTGATGAATATATGTTTCATTAACACAAGCACATCTGAAAGACATTTGACACTTTGGAAGACCAACTGTAGTTCTTTAAAATGCCTCAGCTGAAATTCCTCAGATTATGGTCTTTAATGGCCATCCAAGGAGCCTTAATTGCCTTCTCAATTTGAAAATATATAAAACCTTTCCTTCTGACTATATTTGACTGCAGCCTAGTTTACTTTGCTAGAATATTTGGAAATGCTCTTATGTAAGCCAATGTGAGACCTGCATCAGCAACATTTAAAAAGCCCTTCTGAAACCTTTTTCTTCTATCCTCTTTATAGTGGTTGTTGTTTTTTTTTCTTTCTTTCTTTTTTTAGCTCACAAAACTAATCAGGGAGAATGGTCACTGATTTGTGACTTTAAAGAATCGTCCATACACATGAGTACCAAATAATTAATAACAACAGAATAAATAATTTGTGACTATCCCATGCCATTATCAGTGAATGGCTTTGAAGAATGGTCACATCTGTATGCAGTTACAATGCAAAGAAATCCAGAAGCTGAACTAAGTGGATAACTGTTTCCTGCAAATAACATTTCTAAGTACTTCTAGCTCTAACACAACCCTGGATGAAGGCCATCCCAATGCTTGTAAAGAAAGAGCTCTCCTCCAATAGGGTACCTATCAGTAGTACAGGTGGAGGGCCCTACAGGATGCTTGTCTCACACCCCTGGAGAAAAGATTGGCCTCCACTAATACATGTGGTAGCACTGAGGGCAGGCAGGAAGGTTTCCATGCAGACTCAGGTAAGCTCAAAGGCTTTTGTCCACTCAGAATGAAAAGTACATTGTACTTGACAATAAACCTGCCATTTGAAACCTCAGGGGTTTTAATCTTATAAATAATAGAGTTCAGAGAAGAAGGGTTTGCCAGTCTGCATAGCTCTGCCTGTAATTCAGATTTATGTAATGCACTTATAAGAACACAGTGCTGAAATGCATGCAAGTGTTAGGGCATTTGAGATTCAGAGACTATATTGCACAAAAATATGCAACAGAACACTAATATTTCTCTCTGCTGTGCTTTTTTCCTCTGTTGCCAGGAGAACATCCATCATTCAATGCCACATCAGAGCCAGCCAATCTAGTGCATGCAGTGACATAGCTTTTTACTTTCTACTGAAGATCCTGTAAGTAGGTATGATGTCCACATCTGAGAAAACTATTTCTCAGATAAAATGAGCCTAAAATTTACAAACATTGTTGAACATGTACAATAAAATATTTCCATTTATTAGGACTGATAACAACTCTTTCTTTGAATATGCCAGCCTACATAGAATCATAGTATGGCTTAGGTTGAAAGGAACCTTAAACATCATCTAATTCCACCAACCTGTCAAGGGCTGGTTGCCACTCACCAGATCAGGCTGCCCAGGGCCCCACCCGACTGGCTTTGAGCATCTCCAATGATGGTGCATCTATAGCTTCTCTGGGCAGCCTGTGTCACTGCCTCACTGCTCTCACAATAAAGAATTTCCCCCTAGCATCTAACCAAAATTTCCCCTCCTTTAGTTTAAAGCCATTCCTTCTTGTCTGATCACTATCAGACCACATAAAAATTCCTCTTGTTTATATGTTTCTTTTTTTCCTCTTGTTTATATGTACTGTACTCAAGCACTGGAAGGCAGCAATGAGATCTCCCTAGAGTGTTCTCTCATCCAAGCTAAACAAACCCAACTCCTTCAACCTTTCTTCATAACAGAGGTGCTTTAGCCCTCTGAGCCCTCGGTTTGACCAGGAGGTCCTTGCTCAGCCATGCTGATTTCCTGCCTCCTCTACTTGATTTCTCATGATGGAGAAATCATCTGATTTCTGATTTCATCTGAATTTCATCTGAACAGAAGAGCTCTTCTGTTCTCAGAAAGTGTCTTTTATATTTTGAGAATACTAAAAAGGCAGGGTTACTGTCTTTTTTTTTTTTTTTTTTTCAGTGTTCAGTAAAGTCCTGAAATGATTAGTTTATTTATAAAGTATATAGAAAAATAACTATTTTAGACTAAAAAAAGAAAAGAAACAGATTTTGACTTGCTTCTCTCTGGGCATCAGCAGAAAAGTTGCAGTAGTTCTACTGCAAAACAAACCCATACCTCAAATACATTCAGGCATCAGAAAGAAAAATAAAATCCTACCATTTTTTAATGCAAAAAGAAAAGATGTGAAAAAGTAGCAGGACAAAAAAGAATGTATCAAATGCATTGTGGTGTATCTTTGTCTGGCAAGTGCATTCAGGAAATTGGGAGTGTTTCTTTGCACTTTCCACTTATAATGTCCAGAATATTAAAATGGCAAGCATGAAGCTGTCAGCAGATGCAGTTTCACTATGGGGATGTTATCACATGCAGCTTTGCTGTGTTATTCATTGCTTGCAGCTCTTCCAATCAGATAACCTTAGCAAACATGGTGCTGTCAATTGCCAGATGTGGTACATGCTATGCAGCATCTAGTTTTTGATGGACTAAAATGGATCTGTGAATTCTTCTCTTTATCAACCATCAGACACACTATGAGATTCACAATGAGTATCTGGAAGTGTGCTGTCAAGTGCCAATTAGTGATGTTCCTGACCCAAAAAATAAAGAAGATCATAGAAGAAGCTGCCCAGTATAATTCTACACTCCAGTGTCCTTAAAGGAGACTCTCATTTGTAAATGTACTCCTGCAGATGAAAGGGAAATAGGAGGTCAGTGGTTCCTGTCTAAAACAATCTTCTACAATCTTATAATGAATTGTAAATAGAATCACTATCAACCTGCTCTTCCTGCACTGGAAATCAGTGTGAATGGTTTAGGAAAGCCAAACACTGATGATATTGTCTCTCAAGCTGAAGGCTACACTCTTTCCTCTGTGCTCCTCACAGTGTGTGAGTCCATCTGGCAGGAGGTCACCCTTGGCTCCTGCAGTGCCCTATTTGGCTTGGTGTGTTATTCCACTTCCCCATCACCATGTGGTAAAGCCACTCCACACAGCTACTGTGCTGGGAACCTGAGCACTTAATCATTTGAAGATAATTTGAAGATTCATGAATCAATGGAAATGTCTGCCTTCTTCTCAGAACAATTCTCAGCACCATTTGGCAAAATGTTATTATTATCATTTAATAAGGTTTTATCATGAGGTATCCCTAATTTCAGAATTTTAAATGATTTTATAAAATCAAAAGCATAATTTCATGCCCAGATGATTGCCAGCTTGAACTGCAAAATAAAAATCCCTTCTTAAAAATGCAATGTCACTAGCATGTGCAGAGAACATCTGACAATTTTGGATTTTAAGACCAGTCCTTTCCATCTAAGGGTTAATGTATGCAGTAGTCACTGTAGATGCAATATATTATTAATTAGCATATACAAAGCTTATTTATATTAAAAAAGCATGCTTAGTGAAAGAGACATAATTCCTGTTATTACCATCCCAAATGGCAGAAAACAAATATTGTATATAAAATTAATAAAAAATACAGGACAATACAGCAGCAAATTTGGAGTATATTTGTGTTCTACACTTGTGATTTTATACAGGACTGCTATTTTTAATGGTAGATTATGTGTGCCACTAGTATTTTTCTGAGGATACCCCTATACTTGAATGGCAATATTCCAAAAGAGCAGTTCTGGAGAAATGTGTTGTATGGATCTGTGACACTTATG